TCCTGCTGCATTCAAAGCAACAGTCATTTTTTCAGGGTTTTATTTTGAAATGAATGATCTTTTGACCTTTGTAGTGTAAATGTATGCTTTCACAATCTATGGCATACATTAGGTTTCCAGTTGTAATGTAATAAAAAATAACATTCAATGAAAGTAAACATTTTGAGTTGTGATAGCTCAAATTTATGAGTTAATTTACTGTCAATACTTCAGTTTTGGCACTGGGAGTAGAAAACAGAGAGTTATATTTAGTGTGTCATTTATATGCCATCACAGTTCTTTAATTTTTTGTAAGATGTCGGGTTAACTTGATTTGCTAATGTTTACAACAGAACACACAATAATATTTAGTTATTCACCGATTAATTAGTTGTCTTTCATTAGTCTGTATTTTCTCCTTCTTTTATGGTAGTTGTAAGAGGATTTCTAGCTCGCCAGCGCTTGTTACAGAGGATGAGCATCAAACAGCAAGAGGTCACCTCAATCAACAGCTTCTTGCAGAATGCTGAGGATATGGGATTGAAAACATATGATGCCTTGGTTATTCAAAATGCTTCTGACATTGCTCGGGAAAATGACCGGCTCCGCAATGAGATGAACACTGCTTACCACAGGGAAAAGTTAGAGGCCAGAAACAGACCAGAAGAAGGCCACAAAAGGTAAGATGAGGAAACATCTACTGTAAAGAATTAAAGTATTTCTTCAGTTTTAGTGATTTCCTGCCCTGCTTAGGAAGTCATAGAAATGACTGAGGAATTACAAAAAAATTCTCAAGCATATACTCTGTCCAAATCAATGTTAGACCCTTTTTTTTTATATATATTAGGTAATTAAGTCTAGAAACTTAAGGACACCTCTAATATCCTATTCAGAGGACACTGAGCTTTATAGGAACTTATTCAAGTCTCTGAGGCATTCATTTTTTACATAAATATTTTTTAATGCTACGATAAATAGATTATAGTTAAACTTTCATCAAGCCAAAATAAAAATACTCTAACTTAAAATTCGAGCATTGGGAAATTGCCAAGATAATGAAAAACAGCTAGGAAGGCATTAAAATGCAATGAAATACAGACTAAGAAAGGAGTGCCTATTTTACAAATCCACTAAATGCTGCAGAACCTTTCTCCAGGAAGTGAGCCCCTGATCTCTCTTCTGTCAGTCAGCTGAGCAGGCAGAGTTTGCAGTCAATAG